TTTTTTTTTGTGAGTTAGAATTTTGTTCTACATCGTTCTCCAGCTCTGTCCAGAACCCTCTGTTGTGATCCTGGTGGTATCCGGGCACCATCTAGCTGTACTGGACTCAGTCTGGTGGAGACCTTGGTAGCTGTGGACCATTAGTCCTTCGGACTAATCTTTTCCTTGTATCCTGTTCTCTTCACACTCCCTTCCTCCGGAAGGGATGAGACTGGTGGAGTATCTTAGATGGTTGCTCACAGGCTTTTAAGACCCCAGACACTACTCACCAAGGTAGAATGTAGAACACAGCCTTTATAAACTGTGTTATGCCAATTGAGCTAGATGTTCCCCATGACTCCAATTTTGAAAGACGTTCTACTGAGGGTAAAATGCTATCAAACAGCATCGCATGCTACAGAGAAATCTTTCATGAAAGGAAGAGTCAATCGATGTGGCAAACTTCATTGTCTTATTTTAAGAAATTGCCACAGCCACCCCAACCTTCAGCAACCACCACCCTGATAACTCAGCAGCCATCAACATCAAGGCAAGACCCTCTACCAGTGTAAGAATGGTGTAGGGGCAGAGTTTGACCTCCCTTCTCTTCACAAGGGAGAAGGAAAAGCAAGATCAACAGCCCAAGGCTGATTCCTATGAGGCAGAGGTCAGACATGCCTCCTCTCTCTGCTGTCTTTACCAGTTCTGACACCAACCTTTCCTCCCATGGGGCTCTTCACTTCTCTGCTGGGTTCGACAATTCAGTGCAATGGCCACACAGAACTCACAGACAATACTCATGATTATAGGGTTTATTAGGGAAGTAACAGGTTACAATTCAGGCTCAGGAATGCTCAGGATGCAGTTCTTCCATCAGGACAGCCTCTTCTCAGCCATGCTTGCAGGCATGCCTCTCTGACCCTCAGCCTCTGCCCTACTTGCAGGTGTTACAACGCTCTTTTAGTTCTGCCAATAATAATGCTGGTGTCATAGTAGTTAAGTGCTATGGCTGCTAACCAAAAGGTTGACAGTTCAAATCTACCAGTCACTCCTTGGAAACTCTATGGGGTAGTTCTACTCTGTCCTGTAGGGTTGCTATAAGTCGGAATTGACTCATGGGCAACGGGTTTGGTTTGGTTTAATAAGTGCCCAGAGGCACTTCACTCCGCCAGCAAGCCTCGGCGCAAAGGCACTCAGCTTTCTCCCTCCATATTCGGAGAACCCAGAGTGAAGAGATCTCAGAAGACCTTCATCAGAACTAGATGGTGCCTGGCTACCACCAATGACCGCCCTGACAGGAAACACAACAGAGAGTCCCTGATGGAGCAGGAGAAAAGTGGGGTGCGGATCTCAAATTCTAGTAAAAAGACCAGACTTAATAGTCTGACCGAGACTGGAAGAACCCCAGAAAGCATGGCCCCCGGACTGTCAACCCAGAACCAAAACTATTTGCGCGGCCAACTCTTCAGACGAAGATTGGACTGGACTGTGGGACATAAACTGATACTCGTGAAGAGTGTGCTTCTTAGCTCAAGTAGACACACGAGACTAAACGGGCAGCTTCTGTCCAGAGGTGAGATGAGAAAGCAGAGAGGGTTAGGAGCTGGTTGAATGGACACGGGGAATCAGGGTGGAAAGGAGGAGTGTGCTGTCACAGTATAGGGAGAACAGTTAGGGTCACGTAACAATGTACGTATAAATTTTTGTATGAGACACTAACTTGAATTGTAAACTTTCACTAAAAGTACAATAAAATAAAAAAAAAGACCTTTATTGGAATTTATTATAACGACGGCAATACTAATAAAAACAACAATAATCACACAACAACAATAGCTAATGTTTATAGAGCAGTTTCTACGTGCCAGACACTGTTCAGAGTGTTATATATATGAAGTCATTTAATTTTCACAATCACACTGTAGATCCTATTATTGTCCTCACTTTAACGATGAGGCAACTGAGCCACTGAACTACTAGGTAAGTTGCCCAGCATATAGATGCATGTACACAGCTGTATGTTTCTATCAATCCTTTCTTGGCGCGCTCTCTCACTCAGCCCAAGAGCCCTCCCGGTCGTTCCTCCCTCTGGACAGGAGGGGGCGCCCCAGAGCGCAGGCGCGGGGCGGGTCGGGAGAGGAGAGAGCGGAGGCAGGGATTGGTGGAAGAGAATTGCAAGTTACTAGCGGAAGTCCGGCCCCGCCTGGGCGGGACTTCCGGCTCCAGCGCTTCGGGGTTTATGCTGACAGAGCGGAGCCCCTAGCGCCGGGATGGTGCTCCTGGAGAGCGAGCAGGTAGTCGGATCTGGTCGGCCGAGGGACTGATGCGGGTCGGGGCGTAGCTCGGGGCCTCTGGCTCCTGCGGGAGGGCCCGGGGTGTGGCGTGGCTGGGATTTGGGGCCGCCTGACCGGGCCGGGCTTGTTGTGTTCCAGTTCCTGACGGAGCTGACCAGGCTCTTCCAGAAGTGCCGGTTGTCGGGCAGCGTGTTCATCACCCTGAAGAAGTGTAAGCAGCCGGCGTCTCGGGGGGCCGGCAGGGAGCTGGGGGAGGGCGCCCTGGGAGCCCAGCGACGTGCCGGCCTTCCCCTACCGTCCTCCCTCCTGTGCTGGGCACGTCCAGGGCTGTGGCTGGTGGGACCCCCAGCACTTAGCCGTCGGTCGCGGTCGCCGTGGGCGCCTGGCATGTCAGATTGTTGTTTGGGTCAGGGATCCCACAGCCCTCCATGAGCGAGGTTTAATCTGCTTTGACGTTAACAGTGTTTCTGTCGTGAAAGTCGTATGGAGTTCTCCAGGTTTGACCAGACCGTCGGTGATGGCGGATGAGGTGGTTAACAGAACTAGCGCAGTCGGGGTGGATTCGATACCCTTTTCATATCCCGTCCCGACTCCCTTGGTATTTGCCTGCCTGTCACCGTCGGTGACTGTGTTCACTAGGGTGTATTTTTAATACAGATGATGGTCGAACTAAACCCATTCCAAGGAAAGGTACTGTGGACAGCTTTGAGCCTTCTGATAACAAGTGTCTGTTAAGAGCTACTGATGGGAAGAAGAAGATCAGCACTGTGGTAAGCTGGATTCTTAACACTACGATTTTGGAGTTTAAAGACGTGAACTTAATTTTGGGATAGGGCCTGTCTGAACTAGGCTTTTTTTCTTTTTTCTTATTTTAAATCAGGGCTGGTAAGTGTGTGGAGTCCCTGGGTGCCTCAGATGGTTTAAGCACTAGACTATTAACCTGAAGGTTGGCAAGTCGAACCCACCCAGAGGCCCCTCGTAAGAAAGGCCTGGCAATATGCTTTGGAAAGGTCACAGCCTTGAAAACCCTATGGAGCACATATGGGGTTGCCATGGGGTAGAATCGATTTATGGTGACAGGTTTGGTTTGGTTTTTTACTAAGTATGTAGTTCTCAAGCTTTTATGGAACCAGGACCTTCCTTTACTACGTTAGTAGTGGAAATCTCAACAGCAAAATTAAAATGAAGAAGGTAGAGATCAAGCACCTGTTCGTTTTGCTAAAATTTTTGTGGAAATAAAAGTAGCGTATTACTCCTTACTCATAGTAGCCCTGTTAGGAGCCGTTGGCATATTCAGTTCCCAATCCCTGTCCTGTGCTGGGCCTTCCATGAGCAGTTTCTTGGGACCAAGTGACGCTTTTGAGCTGATTATTCCTGGATCTTAGTGGTTCACATAGGAAACACGTAGCTTTGTGTTAAACTTGGTACCTGAGAGCATACACATTTCGTATATGGAGCCCTAGTCTTCCCTTTCAAGATAGAGGTTGAACATGGCCGAGAGAGACTCCCTGGATTCCAGGTGAGTACAGTCACGGGCTGCATAATGTCCGTTCAGGCAGTGTCCAACCACATATATGTCTGTGGTCCCATAAGGGTTTTTTTTTAAAAAGGGAAAGCAGCTTTTATTTTATTATTTCCACCTAATGGTTTTAAAGACCCCAAACGCGCAGAGTGAACGAGTAACAGGGCTCCAAGGTGCGTCCCAATTACCGCAGTGCCTCCTCCTCCTGGTTTCATTCACCCGCGCAGTAGCCCTGCAGCCATTCCCTCCTGGTGGAGGGCAGCGCCCGTCTCAGCTCCTTCCGAGGGCACTGGTGGGGTGCCAGCCGGGCCCAGGGCGCTCGTGGGCTCCTGGCTCTGGGTGGTGGTGGCAGCTGTACCAACAGGGTGCGGCCGCCAGGGCTGCCACTGCCGGCCACACTTCTGGTGCCCCACACCTGCTTCCCGACAGGTCCCCGAGGTCACCTCTCTGCAGGCCCCACCCCCCACCTGGACGTGCACAAAGTCCTGATCTGGCTGCCCACCCGGCAAGGCCGGCCTCCTGTAGCCAGTGGATGGAGTTCTCCGGCTTTGTCTGGTGGCAGGTGGCGGCCAGGGCTTCAGGGTTCTGGCTGCTCTTGCTCCTCAGGCAGGCAGAACAGTGGGTGGGGCTGGGGACTGCCCGTGTACAATACGGTGTTCGCACAACGTCCAAACTGCCTAACGTCCTATTTGACAGAACATATTTGTGGATGTTAGTGATGTATGACTGTACTTTATTCTGCTGGGGCAGAATCAGAATGCCCTCTAATCACATTAGTAGAAGACATTCATGAGAACGTAGACCATAATTAGTTGATGAGTCTCCCTTTACAAATTGAGAAGACTTTTATAGTAAAGCAAGCTTATGTGATTTTAAACAATTAAGCTGGGTATCATGAGATACAAAAACCTAACGAATCTTCTTCAGAGGTAGAATTTCTCTTCTTGTGGAAACTTGCGTTGTGCTTAAATAGACCTGTATTAATGGCAGGCAGGTTTAAATAAGATGGGGAGGGGCTAATTTAAATGTATCTTGACAGAAAATGCTGAGAAGTCCTTTGACATCACTCAGAACCCAGGGAGAAATTTAGTGCCAGACATACACGGGATTCCAGCAGGGGTGAGACGCGTGGTTTCTTTAGGCGTCTCCTTCTGCCTCCTTGCCATCTTGTGTGGAAAAAGGCCCAGAGCTACTTTGCTTGTTCTTAGGTGGAGGAAAGTGGAGTAGAAAAATAGTCTTCAGTGTATATGACCCCTGAAGCTGGGAAGACGTATTTTAATGAGGAGGTTGTCTTCCTGAGGGTTTTGAGGTATTAGCTGAGGTGGGACAGAGGATTCCTGTATGGGTAATCGGTGACTTCTGTTTTCCTCCTTTTCCAGGTGAGCTCTAAAGAAGTGAATAAGTTTCAGATGGTGAGTTTCTGGCGTTCCCTATGTCCCCCTTCTCAGGCAAGAGTAGGTATAATACTGACCACTGGGTTAAGAGCAGGGCTTCGAACCATTTCATCTGCTTCAAACCCCTGCTGAGAATTTGCATTTCTAACAAGGTCCCTGCTGAGAATTGGAAATTTCCACCCTAGATATACTGAATCAACCTACATTTCAACAAGATTGTCAGGTGATTCTTACGTATAACTTCTTGGGAACCTGTTAGAAATGCAAATTCTCAGCAGGGGTTCAGACTGGAACAAACCTGTTTGAAGCCCTGGTGAAGACTGGTTTTTGGGTTTACTGCTCTTTCTTGGTAAGTTTTTGGTAAGTTTTATACCAAGTCGGAAGTTGCCAGGCCCTGGTTTCTACTTTCAGCACTGATACTATCTTCCTTTCCAGTTTTTAGCTAGATTTTATTGCTTTAGGGTTCTGGTATATTTTCCCTATAGTATACTTGAATAAAAAGTTGTAGTTTTTTTTACCCCTTTTGCTTAAAAAAAAAGTTGAAAATGTGCAGCTCTCTGAGGAGTGTTGCAGAAGCTGCTGTAATGTGAAAGAGTGATTTCCTCTCACACCATTTTCCTTAAAATGCAAGTGTCCCGTGGTAACATGTTCTTTATTAGGTAGGCTTTCTGATTGTGGCTACCCAAAATTCACTATTCACCACTCGTCTGGCAGTCTGTCATACTGTGGTGGCTTGTGTGTTGCTATGATGCTAGAAACTATGCCACCAGTATTTCAAATACTAGCAGGGTCACCCGTGGTGGACAGGTTTCAGTGGAACTTCCAGACTAAGACAGACTAGGAAGAAAGGCCTGGTGATATACTTCTGAAAATTAGTGAAAACCCTATGGATCACAAGAGAACACTGTCCAGTATGGCACTGCAAGATGAGCCCCCTATGTTGGAGGGCACTCAAAATACACATTCGTCTTAACAGTGGACTTGAGCATACCACCAATCGTGAAGATGGCACAGGATCAGGTAGCATTTTGTTTTGTTGTACATGGGTCGCCATGAATCAGAGTTAACTCAAAGGCAACTAACAACTATAGCAACAACAAATTCCTTATGGAAATGAGGCAGCTACTCCACCGATTTGCCACTCTTCCCACTAAGATCACGCTCTATTTTTCAGGCTTATTCAAACCTGCTCAGAGCTAACATGGATGGACTGAAGAAGAGGGACAAAAAGAGCAAGAGTAAGAAGAGCAAAGCAGCACAGTGAAGGGCACCACACTTCAGCTTTCACCAACTAACCACTGAATTGCTGTTTTTCCTTTGATTTTTTACTGTTGGCCACAAAGCTAGCCTTCTGGCGCCCCCATAACGGCTATTTTGTATGAGATTGAGAGTCATTTTGGAGGGAGGAGGGGCAGAAGGGCTGCAGTGTTCACAGAGTAACTGTGGTAAAAAGCCAGTTTAATGTAGACCTCTGGCTCATGGGTCTCTGTTGCATGTTGTACATTCCTGGATTGTAGTTTAAAGTCTCTGTAGCCATCTGTGTGAAGAGCAATGTATCATTAAACCTATTTATCAGCACGGTTGTCTCTTATTTATTCCTGTCCCCACCCCATTTTAATAGTTTCTAGCAATAACTACTAATTCTGGAATGATACGATTAATGAATAGGCTTTAGCCTTATATTCTAGCTTGTTGGAATTGAAAGCTAACAATTTTATAAAATGTTGTGTAATCTCATGGTTTGTATAATTTCATCCTCATAGTTCCTTGAGCAAGTTTGAGTGAGTCCCCATAGCCAAAGGGAAGCTTTGCTGAACCGCCTTAGGATTTGTTGTTTGTTAGGTGCCATCGACTTGATTTTTGACTCATGGCCCCATGTGACAGTAGACTTGCCCCATTGGGTTTTCTAGGCTGTAATCTTTATGGGAGCAGATTGCCAGGTCTTCATCCTGTGGAGCCACTTGGTGGGTTCAAACCACCAACCTTTTGGTTAGCAGGTGAGTGCTTAACTGTTGCGCCACCAGGGCTCCTTGTCTTAGGCGAAACATTAAAAAATCATCAAAAGAATAAAGACTCTTAGGTAATGATGAGCTTTGGTTTCTTTATGCCCTTTAGTTTGGACATTTTCACATGCCTAATAATGATGTAGGGCTGTAGGAAGAACAAGACTGTTGTGTTCCAACTCTAAAAACTTCTTCTAATGCTAATAGATTGACGATGAAAAAGCAGCAGATCTATGAAAGCATTTATTATACTCAAAAAGACATTTATATTACACATGAAAAACTGACAAAGCTCAACTTTGCAGGACAGCTGCTTAGAATTTAAAGTTACTTCAAAATTACAGTGAATGTACAACATTCCATAGAATAAATCCTTGTCTGTTGGAACAATGACATGACAGTTTCTTACAACTAAAACAGGATTCTGTAGTAGTCATCTTTGTAGCTATACAGGAATAGCACAGACACCCTGCAAAAGGAAGAAGGGGATTAGGAGGAGAGAGCCAGACATACTCCTAACGGTGAAGAACAGTTAATTAAACTATTTTAGAAGACAACTGTAGGAACTTTAAGCAGAAACAAGATGGAAGGCGAGTCACTGGAAACTTATGTAAGTTTTACCGAAGCTGTGACTGGCCAGGGTCTGCAGGGTAAGGCCCAACCCAGGGAGATTACTATTCACCCACAGGCTCCACCGCTGCCTTGTAAGTGGGCGATCACGTGAACAACCGCCATTTTGACACGAGGGCATAAAGCAAAGTAGTTACAGCGATTTTCTTTCATTTAAACATTTTTAGAAGTAATTACCTGGGTGACCTTATTTATAATGGAGATAGCTACCCCCGGGGCCACCGTGTTTTGTCACGGATGAGATCGCAACTATGTGATTGACAAGACTTAGCTTGCCCAGCTGTTGTTCTAACATCAGCCATGAACCCTCAACGAGACAGCAAGACACATGTTATTCTAAAACCCCTCCCTGAGTTCTAACCCCTGTGAAACTTACGCCGAAGTGATCACTTACTTTTTTTCTACTTTGATGTTATAGATTTCATCACAGACTAATTTGAGGTATCTTTGCTTTGGCAGGTGTGACAACAGCTGCTTCACAGTTGTGTTAAATGCCTGTTCATCAGCATCCCACTAGGAAAAAAGAAGACTTAACAGCAGGACACTAGGGTTTATCAGCTTCCTTTTTCTGGGTCACTAATGAGCCGCTCCTTGGAAGCCCTGTGGGGCAGTTCTCCTGCCCTGTAGGGTCACTATGAGTCGGAATCGACTCGATGGCAACGAGTTAATGAAATGCCAACGCCTTCCCCCACTTCAAGTATGTCAGAAGGAGTCAGTTTTAGGGAGCTGGTGGAACTGTGGGGAGACTGCATCTTGTGGTTCTTCCTTTGAAGCATCGATTTTCTTTCAAACAAGCCAACGTGGGTAGAGCCTGATCAACAAGGCCGCAGCCCTGGTGTGCTACGTGACTTCAGACCAGTTATTGCTGCCTGTTCTTTAATCTGTGTAAAATGGGGTTACCACCACCAGTGTACTCATTTGAATGGATCATAAATCAGTAAATTGCCCGTATAATGCTGTATGCTTATTTGCAGGACAGCAACAGAAAATGTATTATGTTCTGGGGCAAAGTTAATTTTTCATTTAATTTAATCTGGGACTAAACAGTGGGTAGACAAAAAATTATTTAATAGGACATACTGCAAAAATTGAGCTGTCACTATAATTATTCTCAATAGCGCATGGAACTATTAATTAAAAATTTTAAAAGTTCTCATTAGGACCTAAATTAATTTTAAGTTTTACAAAAGGATCTTCTATATAGTTCTGATGCCACAAATGAGCTTCCCTAGCTGGCATGAATGTTTATTTGAGAGGTAGCATATAATGGCTAAGGACACAGATTCCACTAGTCGGCCCGGGTTTGAATCCTGGTTCTGTTACTAGCTGATAATTTTGTGCAAAATATTTAATCTCTTTGCTTCCATTGTCTTGTCTGTAAATTGGGAATATTAACAGCACCTATCTGCAGGGGGGCTGTTATGATTTAATGAATTAATATTTGTAAAATGCTTAGAACAGGGCCTTTCAGGGTCTGATACATACTAAAAGCACTATGCATTTGTTAAATAAGATAATGTACCTCTAAAATTAAAAAGATAGGAGAAAAGTATGATTCCTTCCCACAGATGATTTAGTAATCTATATGCTATATAAGAAGCCAGAATGCTCTTTAGAAGCAAGGGTGGCAAGACTTCATCTCATGTACTTTGGACATGTTATCCGGAGAGACCAGTCCCTGGAGAAGGACATTACGCTAAGTAGAGGGTCAGCGAAAAAAAGGAAGACGCTCAATGAGATGGACTGACACAGTGGATGCAGTGATTGTAAGGATGGCGCAGGACTGGGCAGTGTTTCATTCGGCTGTACATAGGGTCGCTATGACTGGGAACCGACTCCACAGCCCCTAACATGTTACATAAAAGGAACAATGTTACTAAATTCCTGGAACTGCCAGAAAAATAATATCACTAAGAAAATCTAATGCCCTTTTCAGTTCTCTTTCGGCAAATGAGCAGCAAAGCTTTGGGATTTTATAGGGCACAGTGCAGAAGGGTCTATCTTGCTTACCTCCAATGATAAAAACTGTAGGATGGTGTCTTTGGGTAGATCCACCTGTCAATACACAGAAGTGCACATCATCCATCAGGGAGCTGTAGGCACGTAGCACATACTGCCTTGTGACTATAGTGTCCTTTGGATGGAGCAGTATGAACAGGGCCGGCAAGGAGTCTGGGAAGCTACTGTGCTATAGACTGCAGTGCCGTGAGGCTCAGCTCTGGTGAAGCGCCAAGCAGTGGATGCTGTTCTCTCCACCACCACATACTGTGCCCCAGAGGTCTGACACTGTCTGTGAACTAACTCCGTGTAGGCTTAGTGAGCAAAGGTGGGAAACATTTTGAAAAACGGTGATTTTGTTTTTATCCCCCTGCCCCACCATCTTTCAGGGGCACAAAGTAGGAGAAGCAAAACCAAACAAAACCCTTCACCTTTTCCCAGGTCTTTACGGGTTTGGGCTGCAGGTGGGTCACATTAGTGACAGCAAGGCCTGCACCCACGTACGGCCGACACTCAGCACCAGGCCCTGACCTCTGAGGAAACTACGGCACAGAGAGGCGCCGTCCTCAAAATGCCAAAGGAGGCGACTTACAGCCAAAATCTCAATCTCGCTGCTCTTCTGATGTAAGCTGGCGAGGGCGGTCTGGAGTCGAGTCTGTACCTAACAAGAAGAAAACGGAGTTCAGAACAACACGCCGAACCAAGCCAGCTTTCCTGCCATCTTATTTCCATTCCAGGAAACAATCACAGGGTGGCGAGCCAGCGCCTGGAAGAGATTCTAAATATTATCTAAAGATGTGCTCTGAATCTGCCTCAGAAAGATGGGTGTCTAGCCCACTGTGATCTCAGGGAAAAGAAGATATTATAACCTATCGATCATGTGCTTAATGATCTTCTTGTTGCGTACTTCTTTATAATTTTGCAATGATACCTAATAAAGGCTCGGCGCACTGAAACAGCATACTCAGGAGCAGGAAGAGTTCAGTATCAAGCTACATTTAGAAAAGGGGAAGGTGACAGCAAAGGAGAACACAGAACTGAAACAGGTGATGAAAGCTGAAGGAAGACACGAGAAATGGGTTTCCACTCAACATGCTTAGAAACAGCGAGGAGAGCTCACAAAAATGAGGAACCTAACCTTTTGTGTTTCAGTCTGACTGAATTTCTAGATAACGTCTGCTCTCTGACACTCACCGTCTTCCCAGATGACTGGCCGGCATCCTGACTGTGCTCACTGGTGTCTGTACCACCTTCCCGCCTCTCCCCCACGCGGAGTACCCCCACTTTTCCTCGCCACCCATCTAAATCCTCCAGGGAGCACCTTCCTTCCGCCCACGTGAATATGCACGTCAGTCTTCACAGCACACTCCAACATTCAATGTATTTAATTCAGCATTCTATTCCTTTCTTCTGCTGTTCCCTGATTATATAATGCAGACCCTTCTCAGGTCATCCGCTCCTCGAAGACGGGGGCCATGTCCTATATCTTGTATTTCACCCAACACTCAGTACAGCGTCAGGCATTGTGGCAGAAACTCACGACGTGTGAAATGAGAAACTTGCCTCAAGCCTCTGTGGTGGCTCTCTTCTGCTTTGTTACTTAAAACAAAAACAAACGCCAATCTGCCATTAGAGGCAGATTAGGAAGTTTTTGTGTAGCTTCAATACATTCTAACAAACAGCTGCTTCCAGCTGCCCACAGTGCACATCGATACCTCTTTGTAAGCTGGATGGGGCAGAATCTTGGCACCAGACAGATGCTTTGTGTTGATGACATCTTCAGAAGCCACCGAGTTAGGGAAGTGGGAAGGAAAATACAGGACACTGTGTGTTTACCTTCTGTCCCTGTCTCCTGTCTCCTCTGGGGCCCACACAGAAAGCTGCAGCAGCCCTGGCCTGTGTACCTGAGTTTCATACCGCCTCCTGGTGCTGGCTGACAGCTTCTCT